TCCTCTGTGTCCTCAAAATAGGATTCCAGGTCTCTTGGTGAAATGCTCATCATATTGTGAGCTAAAAATAGATACTGTGGCGCTGCAGAGATGGCTCAGCAGGGGAGAGCACTGGCTGCTCTTTCGGAGGACCAGGATGTAGTTCCCAGCACCCGCACTGCAGATCACAACCTTCAGTAACTCCAGTTCCAAGGGACCCAAGGCCCTCTGCTGGCCTCCAAGAGCACCAGGCCACGGTACACAGCCATCCATGCAGGCAAAACACCTGCACACATCAAATAAACACACAGGTTTTAAGTTGAAAGAGATAGCTACTGTGACGGAACTAAGAGAAAGCACTGAGAACATAGGGGGAGCCAGGGAAAGCCTACATCGTGGAAACCCAAGATCCCCAGACAGGTTTCAGTCTAAGGAGAACAGAAAGCCCCATCAATCACAGAAGGGGAAAGAGCCCCAAGACCAGACCACAGGGCTGACATTCTTAAGAGGCCAGTGAGGGGCTGGAGGTCTAGCTCAGGGGGTAGAGCACTTGCCTAGTAGGCATGAAGCCTTGAGTTTGATACATAAAATTGGGCGTGATGCTGAATGCCTGTAATCCCAGCATTTGGGAGGTAGAGGCAGGAAGATCATGAGTTCAAGGTCATCCCCAGCTACCTAGTATAGTCAAGGCTATCCTGGGCTATCTGAGATGGTGTCTTAGGAAACTTCAAGACAGGATACTGAAGGATCAAAGAATCTGGATTCCTGTGCCTTCAACAAATATCCCCCCTCCCCATTCCTTTGTTTTCAACATCTCTTGATTATCTGCTTATTATTTGATTTCACTTGTCTAAGAACTGGACACCAATTAAGAAGTAAGCAAAAAAAAAAAAACAGTCTAGTTTTTACGATATAGTCAAAACGAAGCTGGATTTAAGCCATGGTAATATATGAGGCTCCCTCAACGGAAATACAGAGGGGGGAAAAATGTTTCAGGCTCTTGGCTTAGCTGAAACATATAAAACCCACAAAGATATGAAACCCATCCACGCAGCCCATAAAGACACCGCTGCCTTTGCCTGGGAACTTTGGGCTATGATCTGCTGCCCTGGAACAAAACTCAAACATAAATCAGCTCCCACTGTATTTTTAAACCACCTACGAAACTCTTCATTTCCTGCCTGAAGTGCTTCTGACAGTGAACGATGCGGCTCTCGATGGCCCCTGCTCTGAAAAGGCTCCCTCGGGGCACTGCTGAGGATGGGAGCCTGGGTCTCACAGTTCAGGCAAGTCCAGATAGAGGAGAAGGACGGAAGGAACCATCTGGAGCTTGGGCTGAGGCCAGCTTCTGTAGTGCTGGTACGCAAAGTTGGAGAGGGCTCTTTCTGGCATTCTCTGCCAACGGGGATCCCTTCTCATCACTGCCCAGTGCGGTCTCATCTGTGCCCTCTGACCTAGAGCCCCTGCCAAGCCACCCCAGGTGCCCACGGCACTCTTCTATTGCTTCTATTGGAACCAATAATGCAGCAACAGTAAGTACCAGGCAGCTGGCATTTAGTTCTACCATGCCTGGCATTCGCTACTTCGTGCTGTCAGTCTGTCTCTCTAACTGGATTAAAGATATCGTGAGGGTTCTTACGGCATATGTCTACCCTCCAGTTAATCACGGCGCCTTATGTCTGGGCATCTTTCAAACAACAAGGTCAGGAAAGCAGAATGGCGAGGTGTCGAAGCTGGCCAGTTCTCTCTGCTCCGTCCGTTTTGCAGAGAAAGAAAATCACAGCCAAAGGAGAGGCTTGACCGACCCGAGGTTGTGCCATGAGAACCTTCCAGAAGGTTCTCCCGTCCGCCAATGCGCATGCTCTATTTGCCTTAGCCATTCCAAAACCCTCAGAGACAGCTCAGGCCCACAGCACACTGGGGAACCAAAGACGCACATGCAGGCTGTCATCCCCCAGGACTCCATCTGTTCCTGGGCAGGACTGCTAGGCCAGGCTGCAGTAAAGCTCAGTGAAGAGCCGTCGTGGAAATAGCAGCCAGGTCGCTGTACTGGCGGGTGGGGGTGGGGGGGGCCGAGAATGAGGTATGTTAAGACCTGAGCGAATTACTTGGGTGCCCGAAGGCTCTACCCACAGCACCCTATCGACACAATTTGTGTTGCCCTGACACATCCAACTGTGACTGATGGTCCCAGCTCAAGGACAAGTGGTGAGAGAGAGGGCAGACCCCTGAGTGGAGACAAGATGTCTGTGCTTGCTGCCGGCTGCAATGAGCTCCACACACCAGGTACGTGCCTCAAACTCCAAAGCAACACATGCGCTATAGGAAGGTGAAGGCTCACAGAAACCAGGCTCAAGATCAGAGAACAAATGGCAGCAACGGGTGGCTCCTCAGTCCTGCCGACTCTCCTGGTCACTCACTCTGCAGCTTCAACTGTACTTTAGCAGGTCTCACAGGGACCTTCCCACACCTGGCAAGATGACCCTTAGCAGATGTGAAAGCTGAGGGGTGGAAAACGGGCGTGCCTTGCTCCACACCTGCTACTTTGTATAGCTGCAAAATGACATGGGTGTGGCTGGCGTCCAGGACAACTTCACCATAAAGGTCCCCCTTTCGCTATAACCCACGGAGACTTTGGTGCTAGTCTTTTTTATCTTTGGTTTTTTTTTTTTAATCTTTCCTTCGAGACAGGGTCTTTCTATGTGTAGCCCTGGCTGTCCTGGTCTGTAGACCAGGCTTGCCTTGAACTCAGAGATCCACCTGCCTCTGCCTCCCAAGGGCTGGGGTTAAAGAGGAGCACCATCAACACCTGGCTTTTTTTTTTTTTTTTTAAGATTTATTTACTCTGTTTATGTGCTTGGAAGTTTTGCCTGCGTGTTTTGCCTGTCCACCGTGTGTATTCAGCGTCTGAGGATGCCAGAAGAGGGTGTCAGATGCTATGAAGTTAAAGATTGTCATTAAACACTGTGTAGACGCTAGGAATGGCACTGAGGTCCCACGCAAGGGCTAAAATGCTCTTAACTGTGCTCCCCTCTCTCCAGCCCCTCGTCCTGAGTATTTTATTCTATCATCTGACCCAGGGGAGAAGGTCTGTTGAAAAAAACATGGAAGTTGAGAGCATTCCTGACTTTGCACGGAGCTGGGAAGAGATGAGACCAGCATGAGGCACGCCCAGAGTTCTGTGGCTTTTCTTGGTGCCAGAGAAACACAGAAGGAGCCACTTCTAAAAGAACACAGTGCTTCTCTTCTTCATCTTCTCACCTCCCCTGGGCCAGCGCCTGTGATAATTGGGAAGCAGAGTCTGTTTTTTTTTTCTGGGACGGAACCAATGCTGGAAGGGCTGTTGATTGACAGCTGATAGACAATGTTCTCGAGTAAGATTTTCCTGGGCCGGATGTTAAGCTGAGAACACTAAACAACTTCAACAGCCTGCCTCCTGTTCAGGTAGAATTTACTACCCGTTCCCTCTGTGGGTCGCAGTCAGGCGGCCAAACGAGATGGTATCTCAGGTCCCTTCCTGTCCTCATCATTCAAGGGCTCTGTCACGAAGAAAACACGGCTCTGAAAAGATTTTTTTTTCTCCTCCACACACTGAGGTGGGGTTATTATTCACACAGAGAAACGGGCTCAAGAGCGGAGATAACTGAGTGAAAAACAAGGAACTTCGAGTCTGGTCTCATCATCTTTGACCTACGGGGCAAATTTATCTTTAGAAAGAGACACGAAAGGACAGAACCGTGTGTGCAGACAGGTTTGCTCTGTTCCCTGAGTACAGAGAGGCCCTGCCCTGTAAGATAATGTCCAGCACAAGAATGAGATGTAGTGACCTGGTGGTATCTATGACAGTTTGTTTGAACCACATCCCCACTCTTTCAGATCATATCTTCGTTTTAGGTTTTTGGCCACACTATAATTTTTTTTAATTCAAGATTGTTTTTTTTTTTTGTTTTTTTTTTTTTAAGCCGGGCAGTGGTGGTGCACGCCTTTAATCTCAGCACTTGGGAGGCAGAGACAGGCGGATTTCTGAGTTCAAGGCCAGCCTGGTCTACAGAGTGAGTTCCAGGACAGCCAGGGGTACACAGAGAAACCCTGTCTCGAAAAAACAAAAAAACAAAAAAACAAAAAAAAACAAAAAACAAACAAACAAACAAAAAAAAAAGATTGTTTTTTTTTTTAATTGTTGAGGTTTCACTGTTGTCCAGGCTGATGCTCCACTTCACTATCCTAAAAAAACTGCGACTGCACGTATGTCCCATCATGCTCAGTTAACTTTAAAAAAAAAAAAGCAAATAGACTACAGAAAAGAAAAACAAACAAAAAACCAAAGCATAGCACTTCACAGATGCTAAAGGTACTGACTTGTAAAACTTTGGTCGCAGTTCTCTGGTCTGTGGTAGGGTTCTAGTCAAAATATATCAAAGACCACATGTCTAAACACTCTAAAATACTAAGCATGAACACGCCTATAGAGTTATACACAGAAGCAAAGGTAAGACCTAGTAATACTCGGGCTGAACATGTATGCTGCTTGCCTTCCTCACGGTCTGCAGGCCGTTCTCGTCTCACCAGAAAACAAGCTAATGCATAAGAACACAAGACGGAAAGGATTAACAGTGCAAGGCCATATTAGATCCCAAAGGGCAGAACGGTTCAAGTTGGGACTGAAGGAGCAGAGCTTGCAGGCTGAGCCTCGCAGGAGCGACAAAATTTGAATGAATAGGTTAGCCTAAAAAACTGTGCAGGGATGCCCTGACGGTTACAAGAAGGAAGAAGATGTTTAAAAAGAGAGAAGGAAAGAAAGGAAAAAGCTCTCAAGTATGTCAAGAGGGCTCCACCCACGGGTAGACCAGAAACTGCTTCTCTGCACATCTTATTCCCTGAGGCTGCCCCTCACAAACATGGCCGCTGCAGGATGGACGCGCCCCTCAACAAGATGGCGACGGCGGTAGCCCCGCCTCCTTCCGCCGCGTCGGCCAATGAAAAAGAAGCACGAGGACCTGCGCGTGCGCAGTACGACTTAGTGGGCTGGTCCAGCGCGGAGGGACCACAGCGAGCAGTATGACTAAAAAGAAGCGGGAGAGTCTTGGCGTTGCTCAGGAGGTGAGGGGAGAAGTCGGGTTCGGGTCACGTGGTTAATCGCTGTGTTCCGACGCAAGGGGCGTCGATCGACCCGGTGGCTTGCGAGGTCGAGGGCCAGAGGGAGGAAAGCGAGGGCGACGTGGCTTTGGGAGAGGCTGTGAAGGGAGAGGGCCCGGTGAGCCTCCTTACGTGAGGGGGCATGACCCGGAGGTGAGGGGTCACGATGAGGAAGGCAGTGATTAGAGAGCCCCCAGGAGCCGAGAACTCAGAGGTCAGGGGAGCCCCAAAGAAGACAGGCCATAGTGGGTATTCCAAAGGGAGAGAGACTCGGAAACTAAGGGGACACTTTAGCCAAAAGGGACAAGTGGGTACCAAAGATGAGGGGACTGAACCAAGACTCAAGGATGAGTGCGCGTCCATCATCCAGTATATTGCTAGTGGCTTCAACGTCTCCAGAGGTGGGATGTCAAACGTGTAGCCTGGATATTACTTCCGAGAATCTTGGGACATTTGCAAAGATTCCTAGGATTGGCGTTAGGGAAGGCCTTTAAAATAGTTTGTCATACGTGGAAAGAAAGTCACCTGATGCAAGTTTCGCTTGCACGCCCCACGAATCCTTGCGTGTCCGCAATGTCTGTATAGACGAGGGGACTGAGGGTCTACGTGGAACTCGGGGGTTGGGCATGGTGGGGTATGCTTATAGTCCCAGGAGTCAGAGATCTAAGGCTATAAGATTGTTCAAAGCGAGCCTGGGATACAGAGCAACAACCTTGCCCCAAAGAGGGAAAGAAAATGAGAAGGCGGGGGCTGGAGAGATGGCTCAGCGGTTAAGAGCACTGACTGCTCTTCTAGAGGTCCTGAGTTCAAATCCCAGCAACCACATGGTGGCTCACAACCATCCGTAATGAGATTGGATGCCCTCTTCTGGTGTGTCTAAAGACAGCTACACTGTACTCATCAATAAAATAAATAAATAAATATTTAAAAAAAAAAAAAAAGAAAAGAAAATGAGAAGGCGGAAGCCAGCTTTACGTGGTGAAGGTGATGATGATGTCCAGGTGGGCTTCCCAGATGCTTCCTGATAGACTGAAGGACGCATTTCCTCTCAGTTACAAAGAAGGCATGTTCAGCCTGGGCCCTTAGGCCACAAGTGTTGGAGTGCATCTAGGCATGTGACACATGTTTGTAGAAGACAACATTAGGCTGTAGTGTCAAAATACTGGACACCCCTGGGGGTATCCTCCGAGAGGCTACCTACCTATTCAGAGATTCTCAAAGACTCACCCCGGGAGAGCTTGCGGAACTGGAGATATTGACTGTTTCTTCCATCCCAGTGGCACTTGAGTGTGTGTTTTAGATAAGCTATGCGTGTCCATGCGAACACACGAGTGTGTGTGACCGTCCTCAGAGGCGAGCAACCACATCTAAGGAAGTTCAGCTGTCTGCTTGCAAAAGGACCATTCCAGCTGTGCCTGTTGACTGTTTACTTTAGGAAGGTTGGGGATGGTCACAGATTTTCACCAAAGGAAGTGTCCAGCCTCTCCCCATACCACCTGTTGTGTGCACCTCTGATTTAATTATATGTTGCCTCAGGGCAGGCTAGAGGAGGAGGCTCCATTTCAGTGGCTGTGGAGAAGCCCTCATCCCTGTTTGGTAAAGAAAGGCCTTCCAAGTGTGGTCTGTTGGGGGAGGAGCGCCCACACCCCTGTAGGTAGCCCCATACCCGTTCTTTAAAGAAGCCCAATAAACCCACCAGGACGAACTTAGTCAGAATTGTACTTGGTTTATCATTGGGACCTTTGGAGGAGGGATAGCTATTGCTTATGTCTCTCCCTGGGAAGGAATTTTAGCAACAGGAGATGACTGCCATAGGGCTGCCTCCGCCTGGGTATTGGCCTGTTTAAAAAAAAAAAAAAGGTTAAAAAAAAAAAAAACTTGGTGATGTGTTTATAAAAAGATAAAGAGGGACTGGAGAGATGGCTCACTGGTTAAGAGCACTGACTGCTCTTCCAGAGGTCCTGAGTTCAATTCCCAGCAACCACGTGGTGGCTCACAACCATCTGTGATAGGATCTAGTGACCCCTTCTGACCTGCAGGCATACATACTGTATACATAATAAATAAAATCTTTAAAAAAAAAAAGATAAAGAGAGGAGGGAATATGTTCTACAGGGGTGTGGTGAGGTATGGGGGAAGGGGATGTCTCACCGGGCCCATGCTGAGGCATCCCTTCTCCCTGAGGGACCAGCCACATGACTGTATAGTATAGAATAGAGTTTATTCAGGGCATGGGGAGGGGAGTTAAGAGGGTAGTAGAGGCAGAGAGAGGCGTGCGCGGGGGGCGAGGGGGGAGAGCATGAGCACGTGGAGAGATGGGGACGGGAAGGGGAGACCAGGAGATGAAGAGAGATCAAGAGAGAGAGGAGGGGGCAAGCATCCCCTTTTATAGTGGGCAGGCCGACCTGGCTGTTGTCAGGTAACTGTGGGGTGGAGTTTAGACAGAATGCTAACAGTTGGGATTGTGAATGGCCTTCTTAAAAAAAAAAAAAAAACCGAAAGTGTGGTGCGTGCTGAAATACGAGGTACCAGGGCAGGGGCAATACAACCTGACAGGCTGTATTGGAGTACAGTGCGCTGCCATAACAAAAACCCCAAACTCAGACGCTTCAAGAATACAAAAGCCCAGGAGCAGAGGACAGCAGACCTTGTGTAGAAAGTGAACCAGTACCTAGTTTAGGCTTTGCGCCCAGGGTGCCTCTTCGCCAACTCTCTTCGGTCTGATTCCCAGACTCCAATTTGCCTCCTGGCTGTGGTGTATCTGTTGCTCTCAGATCACTGCCAGCGTATTTGGAAAAGAAAGTGGCCACCCCCGCCCTCAGAAGTCACCTGAGAGGCACTTTACCAGCTGAGGCCGAGCGAGTGCGGCTCTGGCCTATCTGAGCTGTCGTTGACATAACAAATGTCCTTTTTATGGGCTTTCTAGTGCCGTGATTTTTGCATTTTTGTGCTCTTTATTGGTGATTTTGCTACTTCAAGGGATCCGGAAGCACAGCGCAAAAGTGCTGTGTAGTGTTCCAGGACGATGACGGGGCTTGGAGGGGCGATCGGTTTGTTAGACTAACTGTTTTCAGGCTCGGAACAACTCGGCACTACGCAGTACTCTGGGCAGTGAGTTCAAGGCTAATGAGAATGGTCCGTTTATTAAACAAGATCTCTTTAACAGAAACACACATCAGAGGACATTGTATATGGATTAGTTGATGAATTTGGCTTTATAGAAGCCCAGCCCACTTCACTATTTGCTAATTAATGTGTGCTCAATTTTAAAGAATGCAAGTACTGGGGGTTGGAGAGATGGCTCAGTGGTTAAGAGCACCGGCTCTTCTTGCAGTGGACCAGGGTTGGTTCCCACCATCCACACGGCAGCTCACAATCTTTCTCCCTCCAGTTCAAGGGGATCTGATGTCTTTTTTGGCCTCTCTGGACACCAGACATGTATATGGTACACAGACATATAAGCAAAACATTTGTAAAATATAAGTAAATCTTGGGGAAAAATAAACTATCGTGGCTAGGTATGGTGACATAGGCCTGTAATCCCAGCACTTGGGAGACAGAGGGGAAGACCAGGATTTCAAGACCTTCATAGCCCAACCCGTGCTACATGTGATCCTGGCTCAAATACACAGACAAAAAATATAGCAACCATATGATCAGTCTGTCTTAAGACAGAAGCAGCCGTGGACACTGTGTGAGTGCAGCAGCTCTGGTAAGACATTATTTAAAGTTAATTGTGTGCTTAGAAGGCTGAGGTAGCAAGCTCATGAATTTAAGGTCAGCGTAAACAACCGTGAGAAAGATCTCAAAAAGAAACCAAACCCCCATTCTTCGTAAGAAGAGGAAGAGGTGTATGTTCCGTCCACAGCCCTTCGCTTGACTGGGTTCTGCCATCTTACCAGCAAGATGAAGACTACCCCAGTGGCATGTTCTTCGTCAGGAGAGAATAGAGGAAGTGCCCACTATGTTAAGGTCCCTGGTCCCAGACTGCCCAGTAAGCAAGGTACACGCCTCACTACCTGCCAGGGCTGCTGGGAAACCGGCTGGGCTCATCAGCTAAGAGGCCACACGCTCAACTGCAGCCTGATTCCCAGGGGAGGAGGGGCTGGCATGGAGTTGGGAGCAGGTCTCCCCGCAGGTCACACCTTTCCTCACCATGTGGCTGTCAGGTGCCCAGAGCGCGCCTGGCACAAGGTGGCAGAGGACAGACAGCTGCTCCTTCATCTCCCCAACTGTCTAAATCTGTCCCCTTCTTCCTGCTTTCGTTTCCACATCTGTAACGTGGTGGAGGAGGAACGTCTGTCTTTTGTCAGGCTGACACAGATTAATCTGTCTGTCTGTCTGCCTGCCTGCCTGCCTGCTAGGGCTAGAGCCCAGGGCTGCCTGCCTGCTAGACTAGTGATCTACCATTGGGCTACACTGTCAGCTTTTTAAGTGTTTGAGTCTGACACAACGTGTATTCTCTTAGTGCTTTATATGGGAGCAGATCTACCCATTTTGCAGCCTTATGCATGGTAGAGCACTGGCTAGTTTTCTGTCGGGTTGACACAAACTAGGGTTATCTAAGAAGAAGGACCTTCAAGAAATTGCCTCCATCACCTTGGCCCACGGGCAAATCTGCGGGGCATTTTCTTGAGGACTGATTTGAGGTGGGAGGGCTCAGTCCACTGTGAGCAGGTGGTCCGGGGTTCTATAAAGAAAGCAGGCTGAGCAAGTCAGGGGAAGCACGCCCGCAAGCAGCACCCCTCCATGGCCTCTGTATCAGCTCCTGCCTCCAAGTTCCTGCCTTGAGTTCCCTTCATGATGGACTGTAAACCTTAAGTTGAAATTAACCCTTTCCTCCCCGAGTTCCTTTTGGTCATGTTGTCTATCACAGCAACAGAAGAGCAAACTAGAGCGGAACTTGGTACCAAGATCATGGGTTCCTGTGGTGGCAGACCTGACCATATTGTTTAGGGAGGATT